GGGCTGGGCAGGGGTGCGGAGATTCCCCGGGCGGGGCACTGAGCTTCCCCGGGCTGGGCAGGGGTGCGGAGATTCCCCGGGCGGGGCACGGAGCTTCCCCGGGCTGGGCAGGGGTGCGGAGATTCCCCGGGAAGGGGCTCGGAGCTTCCCCGGGCTGGGCAGGGGTGCGGACCCTCCCCGGGAAGGGACACGGAGCTTTCCCTGGCTGGGCAGGGGTGCGGAGCTTCCCCGGGCGGGGGCACGGAGCTTCCCCGGGAAGGGGCTCGGAGCCTCCCTGGGAAGGGGCTCGGAGCTTCCCCGGGAAGGGGTTCAGAGACTCCCCGGGCTGGGGCTTGCCCCTGAACAAGGGGGGGTCCCTGCAGTGACCACATCCCCAAATAAGGGGGGTCCCTGAATGAGGGGGGTCCCCACTCAATGGCCACGTCCCTGAGTGGGGAGGGTCCCCCTGCAGTGTCCCTGAATAAGGAGGGGTTCCTGCAGTGACCACGTCCCCAAATGAGGGGGGTCCCCACACAGTGGCCACGTCCCCGAGTGAGGAGGGGTCCCCAGCCCGGAGTTCCCCTCTCCTGCTGGGCACCTGCCACCCTCGGGGTTCCCCACCGTCCTGACACCGCAGTGCCCCCCCAGTGACCCCCAGTGACCCCCAGTGATCCCCCAGTGCCCCCCCAGTGACCCCCAGTGACCCCCCTGCCCTCCCAGTGACCTGGAGAAGTCCGTGGAGAAGATCCAGAAGGATCTGGCGCACAACCACCGGCTGATCCCAGTGCAGGAGCTGGAGGAAAAGGCCGTGGTGCTCAAGCAGCTGGGGGAGACCCTGACGGACCTGAAAGGTGAGGAGGGGGCTTTGGGGGGGGGGGAGACGGAGCCTTCCGGCATTTTCCTGCTCCATCCCTGCCTGGGATGCTCCAGGATGTCCTGGATTTGCACCTGGGATGCTCCAGGATGTCCCGGATTTGTGTTTGCATCAGGAATTCTCCAGGTTTTTTGTTGTCCCTGGATTTGGGTATTGGCACCCGGGATGCTCCAGGATTTCCTGGATTTGTGTTTGCACCGGGATGCTCCAGGATTTCCTGGATTTGCACCAGGGATGCTCCAGGTTTTCCCTGCCTTTGGATTTGTGTGCTTGCACTCGGGATGCTCCAGGATTCCCTGGATTTGCACCTGGGATGCTCCAGGATTTCCTGGATTTGCACCTGGGATGCTCCAGGATTCCCTGGATTTGCACCCGGGATGCTCCAGGATTTCCCTGGATTTGCACCTGGGATGCTCCAGGATTCCCTGGATTTGCACCCGGGATGCTCCAGGATTTCCCTGCCCTTGGATTTGAGGGTTTTGCACCCCTGGATTTGAGGGTTTTGCACCCCCTGGTTCCCCCCAGCGCCTCTCCCGGTGCTCACACCCGCCCAGGGAACTCCTCCAGCGGCTGGAGAAGGGAAGGGACCCTGAAATCCAGAGTTTCCCTGGATCCACCTGGCGGGAGTCCCCTGGCACGAGGCTCAGGCAGGCGCGGCTGCCCCGGCAGTGCCAGGCGGTGACACCGGCAGTGCCAGGAGGTGACACCGGTGTCCCCTGGCAGCCCAGTTCCCCGGCCTGCAGAGCAAGATGCGGGTGGTGCTGCGGGTGGAGGTGGAGGCCGTCAAGTTCCTCAAGGAGGAGCCCAACCGCCTGGACGGGCTCCTCAAGCGCTGCAAGACCGTCACCGACACCCTGGCCCAGATCCGCAGGTGAGCCCCCCCGAATCACCCCCAATCAACCCAAAATCGGCTTCCGCACCCAAAAAATCGTCCCTAAAATCGACCCCTAAAGCAGTCCAGAATTGCCCCCCCAAAAAAACCCCAAATCACCTGAAATCATTCCAAAATCGTCCCTAAAATCACGGCCGAAAGCAATCTAGAATTGTACCCCAAAAACCCCGAAATAACCCAAATCATTCCAAGATCACCCTTAAAATCACCCTCTCAAGCAGCATAGAATTGCCCCCCCCCCAAAACCCCGAAATAACCCAAAATGGTTCCAAGATCACCCCTAAAATCATCCTCTAAAGCGGTCTCGAACTTCCCCCCAAAAAAAAGCCCAGATCACTTGGAAATCATTCCAAAATCAGCTTTGGCACCCCCAAAATTTCCCCTGAAATCACCCCAAAATCGGCTTTGGCACCCCTAAAAGTCCCCAAAACAACCTCAGTCCTTCCCAGGTGTGGGTGGGACCCTCTCTTTTGACACAAACCTCATTTTTCCATGGAAAAAAAAACGGGATTTTACACCGGCCTGGAGACACAGCCTCTGGAATCAGCAGAAACCTCTTTCCCCAGGAACAGGGAGTTGTTCTGCCAGGGGAAAATCCTCTCCCAGAGGAAAATCCTCTCCCGGAGCCGCTGCCGGGTGGATTTTACCTGCCCCGTCCCACTAGGAAACCTCTGGGGATGCTCCCAGCCCTGCCGGGGGATTGGGATCGCTCAATTCCAGCTCGGTTTTTCCAGGGAAACCAACCCGCGGGATCACGCAGAGCCTGTCATCCTCATCCCTACAAATTCCCCAATCCCAAGGGCACTTCCAGCCGGGAAGGGAAAGGGTTTGGACGGATCCCATTTCCTGCCATCAGCGTGGGCAGGCAGAGCTCGTCCCACAAACCTCACCAATCCCAACCCCTTTCTTCAGGATTTCCTGGATTTGTGCGTTTGCACTGGGATGCTCCAAGGTTTCCTGGATTTCCCTTTGAACCCGGGATGCTCGGAGCACCTCAGATTTGGGGAAACCGGGATTTTGCGCCCCTCCCTCAGTGTCTCCGCTCCCTCCCAGGCAAGTGGAGGAGGGCGTGTGGAGCTCCCCGAGCAGCCTGAGCCAGTCGCCCAAGAAGGTGGCCCCGGAGACGGATTTCAGCAAAGGGCTGGAGCTGGAGATGCCCACCAGCCCTCCTGTGAGCCTGCACCACCTGACGGCCGCCCCCGACCCCCTGGGGGTGCCCGGCTTCGGGCACAGCCCCCCGCAGCCCCAGAGCCACCCCGGCAAGAGCAATAACCCCTCCCGAGCCCCGGAGATGGTGCCCGCCAAGACCCAAACGGGGCCCGAGACCCCCAGCAAGAAAAGCGTGGACAAAGCGGTGTCGGTGGAGGTGAGAGCCCGGCACGGCCCGGGGAGTGCTCGGTTTTTGGGGGGAATCCTCCGGAAGGTGAAAATGGCAAAGGGAGCGGCGCCCATCACGCTCCTCCTCGCGTGGGAGCGCCGGGAGCGCCTCTGCCGCGTGGGAGGGTGGGGAAATTTGGGGAAATTATGTGGGGATGGGGGTAAAAATGTGCTGTCCGCCACCCCCCAACCCTTCCCAGCGGGTTTGGGGGTGTCCCAGGGCTGTGGGTCACGTCCTGCCCGCCAGGGACGGGGCTGGAGCGGGCTCTGTGTCCGCAGGCGGCCGAGCGCGACTGGGAGGAGAAGCGGGCGGCGCTCACCCAGTACAGCGCCAAGGACATCAACCGGCTCCTGGAGGAGACCCAGGCCGAGCTCATGAAGGCCATCCCCGACCTGGAATTCGCCGCCAAGCACAAACAAACCCCGGGCAGCGGCAGCGCTGCCTCCACGCCCGAGCACAAACCCTCCAAGGCACAGCACGCCCCCAAATCGGGGGGCAAAGGGGACCCCAACGGCCGCCGGGGCTCAGGTACGGGCTGGGCAGGGAGGGGACGCTGGGGGTGTCCCCGAGTCGGGGGGGGGTTGGATGGGAGGGGCAGGGCCCTCACGGCCCCCTTTGTGCCCAGACGAGCTGACGGTGCCGCGGTACCGCACCGAGAAACCCTCCAAGTCCCCGCCGCCTCCGCCGCCCCGCCGGAGCTTCCCCTCCTCGCACGGGCTGACCACGACCCGCAGCGGCGAGGTCATTGTCACCAGCAAGAAGGAGCCCGGCTTTATGAAGGTAGGGATGGCCGCTGGGCTGGACAGAGCGATGTGGTGTCCCTCGGTGTCCCTCGGTGTCCCCCGGTGTCCCCCCGGTGTCTCCCGGTGTCCCTTGGTGTTCTTTGGTGTCCCCTGCTGTTCCCCGGTGTCCCTCGGTGTCCCCCCGGTGTCCTTCGGTGTTCTTCAGTGTCCTCCGGTGTCCCCCGGTGTCTCCCGGTGTCCCTCGGTGTACCCCGGTGTCCTTCAGTGTCCCTCGGTGTCCCCCAGTGTCCTTCGGTGTCCCGCAGTGTTCCCTCGGTGTCCCCCGGCATCCCCCGGTGTCCCCTCGGTGTCCCTTGGTGTCCCCCATGTGTCCTTTGGTGTCCTTCAGTGTCCCCCGCTGCCCCCCGGCGTCTCTGCTGTCCCCCGCTGTCCCCCGGTGCCCCCCGCTGTCCCCGCTGTCCCCGCTGTCCCCGCTGTCCCCGCTGTCCCCGCTGTCCCCGCTGTCACCCGCTGTCCCCCGCTGTCCCCCGCTGTCCCCCGGTCCTCACGGCCCCGCTGTCCCGGCAGAAGGCGGAGTCGGAGGAGCTGGAGCCGCAGAAGCCGCAGGTGAAGCTGAGGCGGACGGTGTCCGAGGTGGTCCGGCCCGCCTCCACCCCGCCCATCATCGCCTCGGCCATCAAGGACGATGATGATGAGGATCGGATCATCGCGGAGCTGGAGGTGAGCGCGGGACCCCCGCGGGACCCCCGCCCTCCCCGCCCCCGAGGTGACACTGTCACGTCCTTCTGCTCGGGTTGGGTTTTGGGGTGGCACCGCGGGTGGCACCGGTGCCGGGGACAGGTGCTGCACACCTGGGGGCTCCTTCTGCACTTCCCGCCTGGGCTCTAAGCCTGGCTTGCCTGGTTTTGAGCGCTGCCCAGGTGATCCAGTGGGGAGGGAATGGTTTTTCCTTGGATGGTTTTTCCTTGGATGGTTTTTCCTTGGATGGTTTTCCCCCAGGAGGGAGGAGAACTGGGCACCGTGCAGGTGTGGGACAGGTGGTGACACGGGGCACAGGTGATGGTGCAGGTGTGGCACAGGTGATGATGCTGCAAGCAGGAGAACTGGACCAGTGATGCTGCCAGACTGGACCAGTGACACTGATGGCCAGGGGAAGGGTGTCACTGGTGGCCAGAGGAGCAGTGACAATGGTAGCCAGGGGACTGGTGACACTGGTGGCCAGGGGACTGATGGCACTGGGGACCACAGGACAGGTGACCCTGCCAGCTGAAGACCGGTGACACTGCTGGCCAGGGGACTGATGGCACTGCTGGCCAGGGGACAGGTGACACTGCTGGCCAGGGGACAGGTGACCCTGCCAGCAGCCGGGGACAGGTGACACTGCTGGCCAGGGGACAGGTGACCCTGCCAGCAGCCCAGGGCACAGCGATGCCTCTGCACCAACATTCCACGGGCCCTGCTGAGGCCGTGGCCGCTCGGAGCCCCGCTGCAGGCCCAGGTGACCCCACGCTCCCTCCAACGGCCGTGTTTGACTCCCCAGGTGTTTCAGCGCAGCTCCGCCTCCCCTTTCCTCCCCACGCTCCGTTGTGACCCCCTCGAGCCCGTGGCCCCGGGCCACTCCGAGCCGTGGCCCGACGGAGCCGCGCTGGCAGCCGAAGGATGGAAGGTAACGGGGCTGCGCTCTCACCGCCTTCCTCCTCTGCCTCCTCTCAACTCACTTCTGCTCCTTCTCTCTGATTTAACCGGCTAATTAACCGGCTAATTAACGGCTTCTCTCCCCACCGCCTCGCTCACGGCACTGACGCGGCACCGGAGGCAGCACTAACGCGCGGCCGCGGCTCCCGGGGGGCTCCCGGGGGGCTCCCGGGCACCCCCAGCACCGCACGGGCAGCGCCCGCCGCTCTCACGCCACGCTGGGTGCCCCGGGGGGCGGGCGGGGCACGGGAGGAGAGCTCCGAGTGCATGCGGAGGATGGGAAGGGAAGGGTTTGGAGCACGGTCCGGTGGTTTGGGATTGCCTGGAATCACGTCCAGCCCCACCGCAGCACTCCGGAGATCCACGCTGGGCTCTCTCTGGGGTGAAGAGAGGCTGGAGAGTGGCTGGGATGGGACAGGGAATGTTCAGGGTGGGAAGAACGGGAGGGAAATGCCTGGAGAGAGGCCTGGATTAAATAAGAGATAGCCAGAGTGGAGAAAACAGGAGGAAAATGCCAGGAGAGTGGCTGGGATGGAGCAGGGAATGTCCAGGGTGGGAAGAATAGGAGGAAAATGCCTGGAGAGTGGCCTGGATTAAATAGGGGATAGCCAGGGTGGGAAGAGCAGGAGGAAAATGCCTGGAGAGCGGCTGGGATGGAGCAGGGAATGGCCAGGCTGGGGAGAACAGGAGGAAAATGCCTGGAGAGAAGACGGGATGGAGCAGGGAATGGCCAGGAGGGGGCAAAGAGCAGGACAGGAGCTCCTGCCATGCCAGACGCGAGGGGAGCTCTGGCTCATCCCGGTAGTTCAGCTCCTGGGGGAGGGTCTGGTACCCTGCAGGGGTCCCTCTGGATGTCCCCCTCTCCTGGGCCAGCTGGGCTGGATCATCCCTGTGTCCCTCTGCTCCAGAGCTGGGATGGGCTCAGCCGCACCCCCAGATTCCCTCAGGCACCCCAGGGATCCCTGGGACGGGAGCAGGGAAGTGCGGCAGGAAGAGCAGCATTTTCCGGGGGATTTTGGGCCCCTCGGGGTGTGAAAGGCCGGGCAGCCCTCGGCAGCTCGGCTGGGATGGCTCAGCCCCCGCCGGAGCTCTGCCCCGGTGCCCCCAGTTTGTACCAGCACGGAGAAATCCCAGCTGGAATCCCTGCTGGTGGCAGCGGGATTTCCAAAGGCGTTCGGGAGGCGCAGAAACACCGGCTTGGATTCTGCTCCAAGGTTTTGTGCTCCAGTGGGATGTCAGGGCTGGAGGAGGGAGCTGAGCTTCCCCTCCGTTCCCTGTCCGTGCTCTGGGTCGGGTGGGATGTCAGGGCTGGACAGGAGGGAGCTGGACATCCCTGTCCAGTCCTTCTCCATGCTCTGGATCCCGGTGGGAGGAAGGAGCTGGACATTCCCTTCCAGTCCCTGTCCATGCTCTGGATCCCGGTGGGATATCAGGGCTGGAGGAGGGAGATGAGCATCCCTGTCCAGTCCCTGTC